AATGTTGAGCCATTGTAAAAGGTGAGACAATAGCTTTTGGTTTTAAGGTGGAGTATTTTGGGGCTCTACAGGAAGTAAAAAATAAACAGCTGATAGACAGCTGCAGGTTCAGAGACACAGATTAGTGTTTAGCGGCTGCCCCCCTCCTCACTTGCAGCTCAGTGGGTAGTGCTGCTGATGCAGTAGCTCTCCATCTCATTGTCTTCGCTCGTTGCTTTTGAACTGTGCAAAAAAAAAAAAGTACCAGCCTAAATATGAGGATGTAACTCATGATTCCTCAAAGGTTCAAATATAATTTTCCTTCAGAAATATATATAATATAATGATTCTGCAGCTATTGTGCATCCCCCCCCCCCCCCCCCTTTTTTTTTTTTTTTTTTCAAAAGAAACAGTTTGGTCCATATTTGTAGATTCCAGGAGACTTTATGAAGTGCAATCAGACGATACATTCATCTGTTCAGAGACATGTTACAATGGAGACAATGTCCTCGGGGGCACTCCATGGATGACAGCATCTTCTAAACATCCATTTGGTTCAGAACAACGATCTTCAGCGCAGAGTTAGCCTTGACTTTAACTGTAGCTCTGTTCGCTCCTTTGTGTCGTAGCAGCAACTCAAATGTGAAGAGATCTGATGCTTAACTCACCAGTGGGATGATGGAGATAATGAAATTATTAACATCGTCATTCTTCACAAAACGATCATGAATGAATAATTAGCTTGTAATGAATAATAATAAGATGTAATGAAATACTGGCCTGTACAGTGTTACAGCGAAGCTAACCAAATATTGTGTTAGCACGCTCGCACAACTTCTGTATTATCACATCGTCACAAACACATAGTGGTGACACTTCCTTGAAGTTGAAACTCATAAGGTCAATAGGCTTTAATAGTTGTTCCCCTTTTCAACAATCCCACTCAGTCTAAAATATATTTCAATACTAAAATTCAAAAGTGCGACTTTAATAGTTTTTTTCAAGTAATGTTTGACTGTAGTAGTGTTGCAACAAGCAGAGTTGACCCACAGATCTGTAAAGGGGACACCAAAAGTGTTTGGTTTCCCAGCTATAAACGGCCAGCTGGGAGCGCTTGAGAGCTTTTGGAGGCCCAGCGTTTAGGTTTGTTTTCCAACTGAGACGCTTTGGTTGCGGCACTCCCATTAGGAATATTTAAAGAAAACTCCTCTAAGGTCTTTGCCATAGCTGTTGATGTTATGTTAATGGTTCCAGCTTCCTGTCCACCTCCACTCTTTTTGTTCCACTAAACAAAGGTGTAAATCCGAAGCCCCTGAGAACAGTCGTCTCTCCCGTTCACTCTATCGCTGCAGCAGAAGCAGGAAAGACAGAGCCTGAGGTTTGGTCCTTAGTGGGACGCGATGCTGTCAGGGTATCAGGTGAGAGCTCGTACTGAGCCCCCCACCACCTCACCCCCACAGACACTCCACATCTCACTTAACCAGTTCTGACACAATGCCAATTCCACAGTGGGTGGCGCACAGAGCTTCATTCATAGACGTGGCAGCGGGGCCGCCGATCAGCATCCAGACTCTCTACTCTTGTCTGCTAACCTCTCGCCGTCACGCCGCATCAGGTCGCACGCAACGGCGGTCACTTTTCAGATGTTATTGTTGTTTTATGAGGGGATCTGGCATTTTGCGACGGTTTCGTCAAGCGGGCATCATTTGAAGTTGGCCCGTCAGGATGTCTCTCAGCGGTATTACGACTGATTGAAAAGCAGATGACCTGAAACTATAAGCCTCGACATACGGGGGGGGGATGGATAGGTGCAGCCGCTAACCCGGTCGCCGCCGAGTTTAAGCGCTTACTTCAATGAAACTGCGGCGGAGCTCCTGAGGGCTCAGGCAAACAATTTACAGAACGGAGCCAGACCTAACTGAAAAACCACGTCTGCAGCAGGTACAGCCGCTGTATGGTTCCCATTGTTGCCTCCGAAAAAAGCTGAACAGGAACTGCGAAGCAATCATAAAGCATGCAGGGAAGCAATTTCTTTCTCTTATTCAAGTGAAAAATGATTCCGTGCTGTCACAAAAGAGTCCCTAACAAGGTGCTTTAAACTCTCTGGCAGTGCATTGCTGCAGGGTGTCAAAGAGTGGATAAGCTATAAATGAAGCTTAAACTCAAAAGTCTGTTTCTGGTAATAGCAGCGTTTCGTTCCCTCTCCAGTGTGCTTTTGATGTGGAGCTCAGATTAACAGGGTTAAATCGTCCTCCTCACTGTCGCAGCGTAACAGCATGGGCATAATGAGCAGGTTGTTGACAACAAGAGCACTTCTTTTAGGTGACTGATTATCTGTTCTTTTGTGCAGGTAGGAGAATTCAACCTCCTTCACGCACACCTCCGAGGACCGTTGTGTGGTTATACAAAAAATAAAATAATAAATAGGGCCATGCAATCTGCGGTGACAATAGAGGAATATCCAAACGCTGAGGAATGTTCCTCTCATCTCCTCCTAATCCTCCGTGATGCGATCCTGGCCGTTTACGGTCGAGTGGCCGAGGATGCACAAGGTGGCAAGCGATCCGAGAGCCCTGCCGCTCTCTGGATAGCGGTCTGGCACGGCGGAGAGATGTGCAGGTTGAACGGGTCGATCCCTCGGAGTAAATGAGGCCGACTGTTTGGGCTTCCATTATCGGCCCGCCGTGTCCCGAGAGCAAAAGGCAAGGATCGTAAAGTCGTGGCTGCTTTTGATACATAGTGGACAGTAATCAGAGCTCAGCGTTTTCTCGCCCTTTCTGGAAATAAACTCAGTGGACCATTGCCTGTTCTTACAGCAAACCTACTGTGCGTCTGCAATACCAGCTCTAAAGTTTCACGCTCAGCAGGATTTCAGTCCTGGATGTTTTAGAATTTCTATTGGAGTTAAAACAATGAAATTGTGCTCAGAGTTTAGCTCTCTGGAGTCTTGGATTGCGTCCGACATTCCACACCAACATGCTATTTAGTACGCTGTACTGGACACTGTGCCGGCATAGATATCCCACAATGCAATGCAGACGTGATGTCAATGTTTGTTACTGACAATGGCGGACAGCAATGTAACGTCAATAACGCTGTAATGTCATTACGAGTATCTGGTTCTACTTTGCTGTTCGTACAATATCTTTCAAACTAGTTCAGACTTTATGATTCTCACAAAAACGTTGTTTGGTCACTCGAGATTGGCACGGTTACCATGGTTACGCATCTCCAGCTCACAAGTATAGTCTCTCAGGAAGTGACGTGGTTATTACAGTTCAGTGCGTCCAACAAGATTCATACTACTATTTGTTCACACAAAAGAATGATGAACGATGCGATTGTACACACGGGCGACTGTGGCTAAGTGGAGAGCAGGGCTTCAATCAGAGGATCGATGGTTCGATCCCCGGCTCCGCTAGTTGCATGTCAATGTGTCCTTGAGCAAGACACTTAACCCCTAAAATTACTCCCGTAGCTGTGCCTACGGTGTGATAGTCTGAATTATAAGTCACTTTGGATAAAAGCGTCTGCTAAATGACTGTAATGTAATGTTCAGTATGAAGTACATAGTGTGTGATTTTGGACGTAGCGTTGTTGTTGATACACAAGCTTTTCCGAGTTACGTGCTTGTCTCGTTTTTAGCTGTCGGTATACAATGGAGAAAAATTTAAATGAGTTTTTTCTTCCTGTGAATGTTGCCACAGAAACCCAGTTCATAATACAGCAAATACATAAACACAGCAATACTTCCTTACAGATATTAACTTAATGCCACTTTAATTTATTGTTGAAGTACTACCGACTATACTTCTGTTCTTGAAACTGACTGACACATACAATGAGTCAATTTAATGACAATTACATGCATACAAATCCAGTCGTCAATAACACCAGAAGACACAACCTGTAATTACTTTCATTCTGAGTACAAAAACATTTCTCCACTCAATCTCCTATTGACGGATCTGATTCCTTTATGTGACAGAGTAAACCGTGAATACATTAGTACAAAACCCGTACCGGTCGCTAACATCCACCCAGCTCCCAGATGTCACAATTAGGAACACCACGAAAGGTCAGCTCAGATCTCGACCCGCGTTACAATATTGAAAATCAAATCTACTGTAAAGATCCAGCCGGCGCCCAGATCTAGGGAAGGTCGCCGGAGCGCCACCGATTGCAGGAAGAAAGCTCAGCCACGCAGCACGAAGAGATACAAGGTCAGGCCTTCGGGGCGTCTGCAAATGACACACACCTGTGACGGGGGTTGCAGCGTGATCCGGGGGGGATGATTGGCAGGAAATGTCAGGCGCAACGTGTCAGCCCCGCGCAGACACACAGATGATGAGAGCGGAGGGCAGGCTCACGAGCAAAAAGGAAGAGAGCAGCATCTTCAGAGAGTTACGTCCTCCTTCTAAAGTCTCTCGAAGATTAGGCCGCGACGCGGCTCACACCTTAAAGTCTTTTGTGCTCCGAGTGAGAGTAAGGAACTATCTCCTGACCCATCGCCCCCGATGTGCACGACTTAAAAAGTAGCTTTGCCTTCCTTTTTTCCTTCTGTTATCATTATTTTCCCCAAATACAAGGATTAGTCAGGGTCATCGTTTTTTTCCCCCCACATGCTTGTATTCCACAGAAGGATATGCACAACCTTCTGGGCTGCACACCGCTGGGGCCTGAGCCAGGGTCAGATATCTCAGAGGGGGGAAGGCAGACTGAAGACCATCCGCTGCATTTTAATTACAGTGAATGTGTTTTGTTTGACCTTGAGAGAGTGCTTCGTCCTGATTTATTGAAGTCAGGGTTTTTTATTTCTCTCTGAATCTTTAAGCTGAACCTGGACGTTTTTTGTTAAGCAATACATCCCTGCACTGTTTTGCTCTGCATTTAAAGCAGCATTCGTCACAGGTGACATTCATCGGCGAGGTGGAAACAAATGCAAAGAACCGCCAACATGTTCTTCATTACCTCGGTCGGCTTTCGTCAATCTCAACTATGTTCCTCTCCCCGGTTTTCAGGGCGGCGCTCACATGGCCCACCCGGAGGACGAGCTGGAGCGCCTGACCAAGAAGATGCTGTTTGACATGGACAACCCGCCGTCCGAGGAATATTTTGGTAAGAAAGATGGCCACACACACACACACACACACTTGGTTAGCTTTAGCCTTTTTCACAGCAGGCGTAATTAATGAAATGATAAATAATAAAATGGCCGGTAACAATCACTGAACTCACCGGAACACTTGAATAGAACGGGAACTGCGTTAATGTTGTAAGTAACTCCTGTGCTTTTCCTATCATAATGACCTGTGGCAGTTTAACCCCTAATGCAAATGGTTAACGCTAGGGTTGGTAATCTTGAGAAACTAGCAAGGATATGCTAAATTTAAAAAATCTTTCAACTGAAGAGCCCAACCATGAAGTTAGCTAGTAGCGCTAGCTCCAACAGTTGCTAAATCCAGCAAGAACACGTCGCCAAGTCGGCAACACCGACAGCCCGTCCCTTCAGGCCTCCCTCCAAAGACACGCCACCCAAAATGATCATTATGAATGTAAACAACAAACACGGTTTTTGTTAGCACTCGCAGCTTTCAACCTAGCAGCTTGTGGAAGACGAGCAATACATATGTATGTAGTTAGACATAGCAGGTAGCGCGTCCAATCATTACATTCGGGCCGAATGGGCGTTTGATTTATTGATTGCTGTCGGGATGTGATGAGAATTTTAACGAAAGTATCAAAAATGTTTTTGAAGAAGATTACCTCTATACACAGAAAAATAATGGTTCTTAAATGGTTCTGCTGTGGCATCACTCCAAAGAACCATTTTTGGCACCTTTATTTTTCTGTGTGTAGCTTTAAGCTTATTATTTTAAGAGTAATGGGGCGGGGCAGCTAGCTGTTCACACCGGGCATATTAGCGTTTGCTAGTTTTAGCATCTGGCTAGCATTCTGTTTGATGCTAGGTGCTACGTGTCTGAGGGCTAGAAAGGAGGGCCGTATCTGTATACGCTAACTTTATTGAACATTTCTATTTCCTCAAGTGAATTTTGGAATGAAAGCAAAATACTACATCATGCTTGGCTGCTTTCTTCTTGCTACTGAGAAACATTTTCTAGCTAGTAAGACCAATTTTAGCATCAGAATATCAATAAAGTAAAGCTGCTCACCTAACACCTAAGAGCTTCAGCAATTAGTGATGAAGCATATACCGTACATAAAATTATATAAATTAAATGGAGTTTTTAATTCCTGTCTGAGCCTTTCAGTTTAGACACTGTCTTTGCTACATTACAGTGTTTACACTTGTTTAGCTAACCAGTCACAGATCTACAGCAGCCGAAGCATGTTAGATAATTATGCATCTTTTCATATTGGCAGAGCATGCAGTATTGTCAGAATATACATTTTTATTTGCCCTTAATTAACAGTATTTTTAATTACAAGATGTCCAGTGTTGAACATTGAGAAACAGTTATAAAGATTTCAAACAACTGTTATAAATACGGTATCGTGATAGGTTCCTTTTCCTTGTGCCCGTTATGCTTCACATATCGTAGTAATATGCTTATGTATTTGAATGTCATGTACCGGGGGTTGCTCCTTGAGTCAAATGCTGAGGCTCATAGTCTACCAAGCAAAAGATCATTACTGCTATAAGTGGTCCTATATCGCCTGCTGTGAGCTTCTCTGTCACAACGACGTGGCATTCATAGGTGAGAGTAGCACAGTATCCTTTTTGATACATTAACCCCCCTGAACCTCAAGCAGTTTTTTTTTGTTTTTGTTTTTTTTACTCCCGGTGGCTTTATTTTTCACTGCATTACAGACGTCCTGCACCTCTATGGAAATGGCACAATCATGGCTAAAAGCAGAAAGAACTCAAACATGTATTTTGTGCAGTATAACACCATTACCATGCCATACATCATAAAAAAGTTAAAATACACAAGTTGAATATTTTTTGACTGTGGAATCTTTATATCCAGCATTTTTCCAAGTGACCACAAGTGTTTCAAATGTAGGAGAAAAAGAAGAATGTTCCACGTGCAATATATATTGAACTATTCACATTTGTACAACTTCTACTTACATCCTCTCTGCCCTCTCCTCGATGCACTGTGTCCTGAAACCTGCAGTCGAAGTTTCACTGAAACTTTTTGTCACTTGACTGTTGGTCTCAGTCAATCACAGCTTCCCAGTTGCGCTGAGGAGCGCATCATTTAAACGGTTCATTTGGGCCAATATTTTAAATGACACGTGTAGAATGAAGTGATTTTGATGAAATATCACATTTTAAAGCTCCAATTTGGTTTTGTTTTCTGATGGAAGCTTTCATCACACATGATGTGTTCAAGGACTGTCAGAAAGATGAAAATCTGACGGAAACGTTACTTTTCACACCTTCTGGCTATGATAAATGGTGTAGTTTTGGCGATTGTTTAAAAAAGACATGCTTTTCGATCCTGCCGGCGGGTTTTTGGGGTTCAGAAGAAGGAGCTCTGAGCACATTAGTGCAGGAAGTATGATCTCATTAGTCACTTTTCACTGTGACATTGTGTGTGTCTAAAAGGAAAAAAACAAACAATCTGGAGAAATGTGTCCTAAACTACTGGTTTCGCTTCAAAGACCCGAAGCCATGCCACATTTAGGAATAAGGTTTCCTAGATTAGCCCCCCCGATGGCCCACAAAGTTAGTTTTGCCTCAAAAGAACAATTGTTTTTTGGGATATGACTCGAGGCCATGGAGTGCGGTGCAGGTGTGTATGATGCAGACAAGGTTAACCTATTCTCTGTGTTTCTTATCTGTTGATTTCCAAGTGTAGACACAGCAGCATATCTAGCAGTCTGGGAAGCAGTCCTCCAGGTAGTCTCAAAACGATATCAGTGCGATCAAAGGATGAGGCTCCTGCTCGGGGTATAATGACAATGAGAGGTAAAGACTTTGGACAGATGAAACATCCTGATTTTGATAAAACTCTATCTTGTTTGATTGTCCAGCGTTTTCTTTATTTTTTATTACACAATTTCTTTCCTATTTTTTTCTTCCTGAAGCACTTCATATTTAATTTTGTTCTTTTAAAAATATATATATATAACTGCCAGGATTAAACCAAATACCAATTTCAATATTATTTTGCAAAAATAGGATTCAAAAGAGACGGCTCCTGTGCATTCATATTTTGTTTCTGTTTTTCCACCCTCTGTAACCTCCGCTGCCAGCGAGTGCCATCCCTCTGCAGCTCTCTCCTCTAGCCTTTAATCCCCTTTGCCCTGGAATTAATTCCCATGCCCATTAGATACCTCACTCAATACATTCAATAGGACTCTGGAGCAGGCTTTATATCAGCACATAATCGCACAGCGCACCACGATAGCATGTGTAGGTGTATTATAGCTGCAGGGACATGTATTTAACTGGAATTAAGGGATATTCGGCTTCACGTTGGTACGCGCTGATGTAAAGACCTTAATTGGGCCACATTAGACATAGGTCAAACGGATCTGCTGGCTTACAGCAAAGTGCAGTCATTTTTTACAGAGGAACGGCCCTCAAAGCCTCGCTGGCCTCATTTTTATGTATTTTTTTGGTGTGTTCCGTGACGCGGTCCTGGCTTGAACTCCTCTGCTATACCATTCACGCGGTTCGACCAACTATAAGACCGAGTGACCGACAAAACAAGGACATGCAAGTTGAGAAATGGGTCATATGTGAGCTGAGGTAGCCAGAACGATTTAGGGATAGCGTGCGCATCCCCGGCTGACAGCGGCTGGCTGTTGCTGGAGTGTGGAGTGGAGGGAGGGGGGGATGGGAGGGGGTCATCGTGTGGTTAAACAAGGCGACAGCTGACTTCACTGAGAGATAGAGAGGGGATGAGGGCCTGAGATTGAGGTGACCACGGGGACTCATTAGGAGAGGGTATCAAGCACAGGCACATGCCGTTCTGCAAGTCCACAGAGCCCCCGTCCTCCCCCGCCGAGTACTGTACATAGAGCCGCCACTGTAACTGTAAAATTGACTGTAGTCCGGCATGTCATGTGCTGTGTATCCATTGCTGTGGGATAATCAGTCCCAGAGCATGAGCCTTTTGTAATTACGAAGAATATAATGGCACACAAGCCTCATCTTTTCTTCATGTTTTTGGTAGGATACAGGGGGGAAAAGGGCTAGCAGTTATTGAAACCCTGCGGCTAGTAATTAACAAGATTAATCAAAGTGGGGCTGCGATCTCTAGCGCGCCACTGGACTGGATGGCCGTCTTCCTATAGCTGCAGAGTTTTTTTTTAGTTTTTTTATCGGCGGTTGCTAACGTCTTTGATGAGCCTCTTATCTGAAACTGCTGCATTGAGTTTCCATTGGTCCAGGGGGGGTTAATTGAATCGAATTAACATTACACTCTGGCTCTGTGATGTCACAAGGAAACTTTTTTTTTAGTCGATTCAACGGAGCTCCGGCGCCTAAGTTACGCAACATCATCATGCTTTTTTTAACTGCAAGTTGCACTGATGAAGACTTTGTTTTTGTGGTGAAACAGGCACATTAAAAAGCAGCCATTCTCTAAATGCGAGCACCAAAAAAAAACCTGAAAATGATTCCCTATATAAAAGAAGGGCTTTTCTTGCGAGAAACTCTGTTCACAAGCCAGAAAATTCCTCCTGTGATGGAAGCGTCTTTGCAAAGCAACTGATTAGTCCTGATTTAGAGTTCCAGATTAGATTTGAGTAATCTGAAAGAGCCTTTTCTCCAAATGTCATCATCCGTCATCTTTAATCCACTTAGGTTGTGCGTAGGTGTACTGTGTTTGTGGAAATCTAATAAGACACAGCTACTCAGCTCACGGTACACATGCCTTGGCGTTTGTGCATCAGAGGAACTTACAATATTTTGTCACCGCTGGATTTCTTGTCAACCAAAAAAAACCAGGACATAATGCTGAATAATTGAAAGGATGAGATGCCTTGCATTATTTACAATTAGTGATGATAATACTTATGCAGTGTAGTACATTCCGCCGCAGAGAATCTGTTTTTATTTCCCCTTTAATACCGAAGTTGAGAATTCCTTCATGCCATTCCCAGACTTTCAGTACTCCACTGTATCGAATTAAAGGAAT